CACAAATAATAATGATTTGGATTAGAATTTTGATATAAAATTGAATAGGATTCTAAAATTTTATCAGGTTTTATTTAGTATTAATTTATTTTATTTAGCTTTAAAAATCTTTTTACAAAACAAATTTGGTTACATAATTTCTTGTAATGAATAAAATTTATAATTTTGCTGCTGTGAAGTTTTTTTTTATAAATGATTACTTACTGTCACAATGTTTCATATCCAAAAGTTTCTTTACTGAGGCGTCAATATCGCTGTAAGATTTGATATAAAACACAAAATCGGACACAGGCTCACGGACCATTTTCTTGTATTGATCATAAGTTATTTGACTGGGACCCAATCTAAAAATATACAAGTAGATTCCTAATTTGCGAATAAACTTAGCTCGTCTCAAGTCTGTCTTGCTGACTGTTTCATCAGCTGAGAAATAAAATGCCACATGAGCTACTTCTTTTCTCATTTTTGATGATAAACGCTTCAGCTGCTTCAAAGCCAACATTTCATTTCCGTTTCTTGATTCACTTGTACTGTATGTTTCATTGTTTTCTGAAAGTAATCAAAAAAATTTAAGCGTTATTTTTTTTTACAAGTTTGGTAAACATCTAATAAATGAAAAAATTAGTAAAATAATTCATTGGTCTTTTTTAAATTGTTAAAAGAATTGTATCACACTTACTGTGCAATTTTCGTAGAATGTGCACCAATTCATCAGTACGGGAGTATTTGGGAGAGTTCAGTTGGCTTTTGAACTTTACAACATGTTTCACTATTGAATCAGAAATTGTGATGATAGCTATGCGATTATAGCGATGCCTGTCATTGGTTTTGAAATTACGAAATAAGCGGACCATTTGCTCTGCTCTTTGAATCTGATTTTCAAATTGTTTATCCGTCAAATGTTGGGATGTGTCAAGGAATAGAGCAACATCAGCTACCTTTCCTTGTTGACAGCCTAAATATAAAAAATAAATGTTCATGATTTTAGAGATTTTCAACTTTCGCTATAAAAATCGACACTAGATAATTCGGTTGGCTATCAGTTATGTTTCGTAACAGCTCTTGAGGAATCATAAATCTTACAATAAACATTTAAGAAATTTTTCATCAGTAAGTTATATGGAACTATTTTAAAACCTTAAATGTACAAATATTTTTTTAAAATTCATCAGTTCTTTTAATTTTGTGCTGATAAATGTACGAATATATTATTTAGGGTTTTTGATGAGCCAATTTCAAGATACGCAATATCAAAAATTTCAACTTACCAAAACTGTTAAATGGCAAACGTTTCCACTCAGGAATTGTCAACATTTTGCGAACTAAAAATGAAAAAACATGACTTTTAGTTATCATGAACTTAAAAATGTAATCCCTTAACTTATTAATGAAAAATATTCAAAATGAATAATTATGATGTAAAAAAAATATGTATTTTAATTATTTTCCGAGGTGCTCTCCATTACAACATCCTTATATCCACATTCCACAAATGATTGGAGAGCCGAGTTCGCGTTCCAGTTGAGTTTCGCTACATTCACTTTTGCGCAAATAGCATTGGGAAAAGTATGAATCCTTATAGCTATGTTTTAAATAGTAGGACAGAATGGGCTCTACACCTTTGGTTGGCAACCAGTCTTGGAGGACAATTCCGAATTCAAAACCGTATGTAGCACTGGCGAAGTATATACTACTATGCAGTTAATTAAAAGATCGTGGAGTTTAAAATGACTATGATTTCGACTGTGTTCGGGCCTATTTTCTACTCTGTTTAAATATTTTAATAAATACAGATAGACTATTTACATTATTCGGACTATTGTCCTCATTTTTGTCGCCATATTTATTACAATGTTTCGGCCGTTGTACGCTCCGGCCTTCTTCAGGTGGTTGGAATGTCGAACTGAACTCTTTATTTCGCTCACTGGGGTAGACTGTTCTAGTTCCACGTACTATTTTTAATGGATGCCAGTTATCTCCTGTTAGTTCCCCTTTCCAAGTTCTTCACTGCCTTAACCGGGTATTGAACTCACACTCCTTGGGTCATGTCACTGGATCTAACCAACGCGTTTATTTATTTAGCATATATGCTGATTCCTTAAGTTTACGAATTTTTCTATGGTGTTATTTGTCTATGATCTCAACCTGATCCTACAGAGGGCAGTGATCTCTTTTTTCTCTCCATATGTGGTCCACGCCTTATTTTTCCACTTCCCCTCGTGATACAGCTTTCTGGTGTTCTTGAAGCCTTACCTTATGCTAGGCCACAGAAATCTCCTGAGTCGCTCAAGCATGAATACTATATGGGAACCAGTAATAAGGAGTGCCAGGGAAAAGCGATAATAACAACAAAAATTGCAAAATGAGCTCTGGTAAAAATATGAAATGATAACAGCAAAAATTACAATATGAGCACTGTTAAAAACAGTTACTGAAAACATTAGGTTTATAATACCCAGGAATTCATACACAGATGTCCTCAAGGACACATGGATTAAGGCGTTGGTTAGATCCAGTGACAGGGCCCAGTTAAGGCAGTGGGGAACTTGGAGAAGCGAATTAACAGGAGATAACTGATAACTGACATCCATTAAACATGGCACTTGGAACTAGAACAGTCTAACCTAGTGAGCGAAGGGTTCAGTTCGACATTGCAACCACCTGAAGAACGGCCAAAACGTTGTAATAAATATGGCGACAATGATGAGAACAATAGTTCGAATAATGTAAATAGTGTACATAATACCTCATCTCAGAAATATAGACAGATACTGAAATACAGATAGGTTTTTTATTTTTACTGTTTTACTAACATCATTATTTGAAAGTCGTTTATCATTGGCATAAACAAACGTGCCTTTTTACTGAGGTTGAACCATATTTCCCACTACTATATAGAATTTTACTACCCTCCAAGGAAGGTAAATCATATTCACTTAGAAGATAGATGAAACACGAACTTTAGTCCTCAATTTGGTATTGTGCTATTTCTAAGTTTAATAAATATAAATTAAGTGATTTTTTAAATCACTTTTGAATTTTCAGAATAGTTCTAGTGCCATATAATTTGCCTATGTTAGGAGAGATTCAACTTGTGTTTCTCTAATATAATCTCTATTATTGAAAACAGTTTCTGAATAAGTGAAGCAAAGTAAATATCACTTACCAACAGCTGATTGACACAAATGCATCATCTGGGGAGAAAAACAAAAATATTTTGAGAATTTGAGAATTTATTTGTTTTGCATGCTTTCATAAATCAAATTTTGCTGTGATTGATACTTAGCAATTTTTTTATATTTAATATAACTGATTTATTGGAAAAGTATCAATGCTTAAATATTTCTAAATAAAAAGTTTATAATGAATTAATTTGATTTAAAAATGAAAAAAAAAAACTCAAATAATTTACAATCCAACCTCACGATAAATCAAAATAAAATTTATTTATTAAATTATATTTTTACCTAAATGGTAAATATAAAAATATTTTACTGTTTGTATTTTTATGTATTAATTAAGAAAACATTTATTTTTATGTCCTGAATGTCTTCATCAATATGATTGTTAACAGAAAATAATAAAAGAAAAAGTATTTAGAATCAAAATATTTCATACAATTTTTAGATCTAACAAATATAGTATATTTTTTGTTGTTTTTCAAAATTCTAAAGCCTATAATTGCTCTATCTTATTAGAATAAAATTTCACTGTTATTTTCCCGTTCCAGGAATAAATGACCCATTTCACTACAACAGATTTTTAACGAAGTGAAAATAAATAGAAATATTAAATAATAATAATAATAATGCACTGGTCACGTTTTTTCAAACTGCAAGTGTATTTGTTTGAAAACGTGACCGTGAAATGATTACGTAAAAATATGTTTGAAATTCAGTCTTTTAAAAAGTTAGAATATTCTAGGCTTCCAAAATACAAAGCAATCGTTCCATGTCGCCTGTATCAACGTGACGTATTCCATATTTCAGCTGCGCACATGTTCACATGAACCGGAACGCAAAAAGAAGGCCAACATCGCGAGATGCTGTTCCCAACTAATGATAACTCAGCCCAACACAGAATACTAGAAACAGGAAGGGCGGATTTCTCAAGATCTTTATTGCTAAGTAGCGGGTGTTGCGCTGCAAAACCAGTGCAATTGGCGGGGAGCAAGAACTAGATAAAAAAACAACAAAAAAAGCGTACAACTTTCTCAAGTTACCAAAACATCAGCTGACTTTCTCTCTCTTAAACAAACGAACAATACTAACCAACGATTCTACGACATTTTAAAAGTTACTGTTTAGTGCTCTAACTACTCGCGGATATGTATGTATGGATGTATGTACACATGTGTGTGTGTGTGCGCGCGTGCGCGCGCGCACGCGTGTATGTGAGAGAGAGAAAAATGAATCATAAAACATTTTGGTCTGGAACTTTGTCATCTGACAATCATTCCAGGATGTATATCAGGTTTCTTTCCAAAACGTAACAGTGCTTGTATCTGGGGTAAGTTCACAAAAATAACATTCTCTGAGACAAACTTTAAGTGTACTCCAACGCTTAAAAACATGTATTTTATTTATATAAATACATTAAAAGTGAAAACAAAGCGTTAAGTTGTGTATATTTCTGGTTAAACGGAAGTGAACTTTTTGTTTGCTTAGTTTCCTTCGTCAACAAATATGAAAAGGTAAAGAGAGAACACAAGAATCACTGAGAATGCTTGATTAGAATTAAGGAAACCATGATAGTTTAAGTAAACAAACATTTCGCACACTTGCAACAATAAATTTCAACGTTTCTGTTAAATGTTTTCAAGTATTAAGTACGTAATATTGACAACTTCACTATTTATATTGATATAGTATTTTTTGTCTTTATGGAATTAAAACATTGAATGAAAAAAGGAGTGCAACATATAGTAAATTTCCTAAAGGAAGTTGAAAAATTAAACCTACCTGTACCAAAAAAAGAATGGTGAGTGGTTTCAAAAACATACTTCTTAAAGGTTAATATTTTTAAAATGCTGAATTAAATATTTGGGAATCGTTCCTTGTTGCAAGTTAACGAATTGTGAAGAAGAGTATCTTAAAAGAAGTTATAATTCGTCGGTGGAGCGGTTTGGTTGTGTTGGTATGTTGCAAGCTGCAGAAAACACTGATGCAGCTGTACGTTCCCAAGAGCTTTATATGTACAGACGCACTCATGACAAGTGAGTTGAGGAAGGAGTGGTGGGTGTTTCTTAATAGATGTACGTAGTTTGTATTTTTGTGACTAACGAGAACACGTCCGCTTCATTCATAGCAACGATGAAAGTTACAATTCTAGTAAGCGACTACCATATATGGGTAGTTCACGTACTGATATCAATCATTCATTGATTTACGCATTTTCATCTACAGAACAATGTTTTTGCATCTCAAAATATTTGTTAAAGAATTTGGTGGGATTCCTTTTTCCGTTTCTTTCTTTCAGAAATGAATCCAGAGGATTTTTATTGTTTTCCTGATATGTGAGAGGACGTGCTTCTCTTCCTGTATTCTTCTTTCTGCCAAATAGTTTATTTTTATTGTTTTCCTGGTATGTGAGAGGACGTTCTTCTCTTCCTGTTTTTTCTTTTTGCCAAATAGCTCATTCCTTGATTTTGTTTCCGTTATTATTCAGTGCTTTTATTTTATGCTATTTTTATCGTACTAGGTTTTACCTTTCTTTCTCTTGTGTTTTCTTGCATATAATGTTGATTTTGCTTTTTTAGCAATGCGCTTTAAAAAGCATATTATGGTAACCTCTGAATAAAAGAAGAAATCACCATTTTCATAAAATAAATTTTTACTGGGCATATACATATTTGCTGGATTGCTCTAAACTTAGTAAATCCATGGTTCTCTCAGAAATGATTTCATTGACACTTTCAATAAGTTGCAAAAACTATTATGATAGACATTTTAAATATCCAATTTATTCAAATCTAGAGCCAAATAAGAGGTTTTTCTGGAAGTAAAAGAAATGTATAATTCCGATGTAAAACAGTTTATTCACAATCAAAAGTCATGTCGATATATACAGTAGAAGAAATATGTTTAATTCATTCAAAAATAAAATCACAAAATCTCTAACACATTCTGATTTTAGAAACTAACATAATAAAACTTGATTTAGGAATCTAAATTTCGTGAAAAGAATAAAGGAAAAAGATGAAGCAATTTGCAGACTTTTTCTAAAAAAATTGAAATTAAAAGGATGTTAAACGATGACGTGTATGAACATAACAACAATTCTTTGAACTGTGTTTACAAGTCTAAAATTTCAAGAGAATATTATTATTATTATTAAGCGATAATTGTATAGTACATAAAAAAGTAGTCTTAAAATGACTGAACTAATTTTTATAGAAATTTTACAAGGAAACAAGATATCACCTTTACCAGGAACAACACAGCTTGATCAAATGAAGTTTGTTTTGCGTAAGACAGTACGCCGGCAGACGCAGACAAGCATATACATGCATAAAGAACGGTGTGAAAATGCAATTCATTCATATTTCGATGTTATAGGTTCGTAAGGAGTATCAAAAAACGTTGTTAACGTACTAAAAGAAAATATCTCTGTATAAATGTATGTATTCTTAGGGAAGGAAAAAGGTTTGCACAGTTTAAGAAATGTCTGCATTCAAAAGCTGCACTTTATCTGATTATCCAGGTAATTGTTAAAGAATTTTTTCTCAATGAAAGTGTGAAATAATCTTTGGTTTTTGTTTTATTGAAGTTTAGAAAGATTGGCATTTTTGTAGATTAAGAAAACTAGGCGCTTGCGTTAAATATACTTCAGTATAGAAAGCGTTTGAATAAACGAAAGGACAATAAAAAATCGAAGCTAAAAGTCGAATGAGCATTAAAAAATCAATATTCGAAGGTCTTTTTGTATATATCAACTTCTTGACACCTACGATTCTTTTCTTAGTTGCTTAAAATTAAGCAAGAAGACTATCCCAACGCAAATATTCGTTATAATGGCTTCTTTATTTCAGTAAATATTTGTTCATGCTAATAAAAAGGATAAGGTTTTGAATTACTGTATTTCCTGAAAATTATGAACATCTGGAGTTGTTTGTCAAGTCAAACACAGCTTCCGTCTGCATTCCACGGTCATGTCCTCTTGATTTAGAGGGTGTGTTTATTTTGGCAACTTTTTTTGCATATTTCTCCAGCAATTCCGTTAAAAAATATGACGTTTTCGGAATAATTTAGAGAAGTAAAGATATTTAACTTAATATGCGAGTCCATATTCCGGATATAAATGTAACTGTAATTACCATTTTATATGTTTATTTCCCAAGTGACTAAAACTGCTTGGAAATATGACGTGAAGAAAAAGGATGTTAAACGCTAATCATTTCAAATATGAATTTGAAAAATATTGGACAGCTATTTAATACTTACATAGAAATTTCAGGTTTGTTTTTTATTATTTTTTTAATCAAATTCACCCCAAGAAAGACAGTAAAGCCACTAAAACACAAGGAGTTACTTGGTGTGGAAGAATTAGAAACAGAAACATTACTAATGAGCGAGAACAAAAAGAGTAATCAGGAGGACTGTAGATAGCGACTGACATTGCATTTAAAATTTTTAAGATTAAAGTTGGCTGGAAAGCATGGAGCCAGAAGGGAGTTCCACAAGCGAAGATGACAGAAAATAAACTGTTATCATAGAATTTACAGTTACATCTAGCCAACTCAACTGTAAATTGATGAGATTTCGATGCCAGTATAGTACTTAAATTAAAAAAAAATGTCTGGGTACCATAGCGAAGAGCTTATCCGAACAATTACCATGGAAATATTTATAGAAAATGCAAAGGGAATAGAATGAGCATCAGTCCATATGTGGCAGCAACATTCTAAGTATGGACGAATGATCGACTTAATGATATGTAGGATGACATAGTAAACCAACTTTCTTAGCAGCTGACCTAGTAATGGATCAATATAGTCTTTCCACTTCACGTCAGCTGAGAACTTAGCCCGAGAAGGCGCAACGAATCACTTTCCCGGTGATTAGTATCAGCTACGCTGATGGAAGGCAGAAAAGACTCTCTCATATGATTAATGGAGAGCAGTTTAGTTTTGGAGGCGTTAAAATTAACAAGCCATCTTTTGCCCCAGTTAACAACAGATTGGAGGTCGTTTCGGACATCGCCTGCCATTTTGAATTTATCGAAGTGATCAGAGATACTATCGAGACGGGAGTAAATGGTTGTGTCCCCGGCGTAGATATCAAGTTGAGAGCTGATGCCAATGGGAAGTTCATTAATGAAAATTAAAGAAAAACAAAGTAGGACCAAGGATGGAGCCCCGGAGGACACTCGCAAGAGTACGAAAGGATCTAGTCGAGTGACCGTTCAGGATAACTTTCATTTCAAGATTTGATAGGAAAGACTGTATCAGTTCAAAAGTTTGTCCGGGGACACCGTAACTCTTCAGATTGTGGAGAAGACCCGTATGACACATTCTGTCGAAATCTTTCGAGATGTCCAAAACTACAGCTACCATTTTTATTTAGAGCACGTTAAACTCTTTCCACGGTTATCGACAGTACATCATCGGTTGACCCGAAGAAACGAAGACCATATTGCTTGTCTGTAAAAAGGCCCTGTGATGAGTGATGCTTAACCAGTTTAGCATTGATTAGGGCCTCTAGTAGTTTCCCAAAATTTTTTTTCAGTTTCTGTAAATATTTTTTACCTTTTAACCAAACTGCATGAATCTAAGTTTCGCTCTTCATATCCATACATCATTAGGGTTAACTTAGAAATAATGTAAGTAGTGAATAAGTTTGTATAACTCAAAATCCCTTCAGTTTATCAACATGAAGATGTAAACAATGTTAAAAATTATTTTCTGTTACTTTGTTTTTAATATTTGTTTGAATAATTTGCTGAATATATTCCTATCACAGAAACTTAATGCATAAGATAATTATGCTAGAAATTGTTCTCAGTGTTAAAGAATTAAAAATTCAACATGTCAGTGGGATGGTTGGCTAAAATATTATGTAAGGTTTGTATAAATCTTGTTATAATCTTAGCAATTTTAGGAGTTATATATCGATAACTCTTCTCCTGCTGGATTAAGAGTAAGGTCATCAAGAATATAAAGGAGTGGCATATTGTTTCTTCTTGACACTAAAAAACCTGCGAAAACCAATACTAAACATACCTACCAAGTATGCCGCAAGAAGAATATGGACAAAAGAAAATATTTAGACCAAAAATCGCAAATACCAGACAATATATCATCAAACAATTGTACCCCACCGACGCTGAATTAATAGAAATTAAATCAAGAGTTGAGTACAACGTAAAAACAAGAAATAGGCAAAGAACAGCTGGAGACTGAAGTTGAAGGTGAGGACACCAATTTGTTTGATGTAGGCCCCAACAACCTGATAAGTATTGACGAATCGAATGAAGTTGGGAATGAGGCATATGAAAATATAACTGAAAGGGATCGTGAAACAACGGAATTTGAAGAATATGAGAACTTTGACAAGAGAAATAATTGAAGAGCTAGTGAAAGTAGCCCACATTGAAATGTCTGCAAGGAAGCCTCTTTCTAAATCAGAAATAAAAATAAGTTTAAACATACAATTTATGTTGGAAATTTTCCTCTAAGAGAAATATGCAATACAACAAAATCTAATTTGACTGAACTAAACCAATTGATATATGCAAATGTTAAAATTCTTAAGTCAAAATGTAAAATAAACCAGAAAAAGTAGAAACCTAGATCAGCAAAAATAAGCCAAGATGTAAGTTCAACATCGAGAAAAATATAAAAACAATGAGAGCAGGAATATCTCTTTTTGAGGAACATAACATAAGAAAAATGAACTAAGATCTGGTAAAGTACGTAAGCTTAAGAGAAAATATCAATCGCAGAGTAAAGAACATACCTCAGTTGAAAAAACAACTGAAACAAAAAATCCAAGCTAGAACG